AGTACAAAACTGTATGTTGTTCATTAATACAAGTATTTTTACAAAGCTCTGCGTTGTTATCCATTACCATATTTTTTCTTTATGTTTTAAATGGAAAACGGTTGACAATGTGCTGATCGTTCATTAGAAAAAGATTATCCATTATGGAATTTTTCTTTCATGTTATAATGTCATGGTCACGCGCACATTAAGGCGTGAAAATACTGTTCCTTTACAGGCATTTCAGAGCATTACTGCATTATTCATAATTGATTCTGTTCAGTGGCGGCTTTAATTTTTAATATAAATTGCTTCTAGTATCTGTAATCTAATTTTGTTGTTTTCGTGGTGTTGTGTAGTCGATTAGTAATTTTTTTTATGTTGGGTATACAACAAATACACTAGCAAGAAGGTTTAGACTACACATTCGTCCATGGTGAGACATCTACAACGAGATTCCTGTCCACAATCTCAATATAAAAAATTATTAATCAAAATGTTAGGATGCTGGAAAAACTTAATAAAAATGAATTCAATCTTCCTTCTCAGCTGATGTTAAAGATGTTTGACTAAAAGGTTGCTACCAAAATAATTAGGCGCACAATATAAACATAATATTATATATAAATATATATATATATATATATATAATACACGGCCTCACATTGACTGCTGGCCTGAGATGGAACAAATACATTGAGTCAATAGTTTCGTCCACCGCAAGGAAAGTCGGATCCCTGTGCCGCGCCAGGAAATTTTTCTCACCGGATTCGATCCTTCAAATCTCCAAATCAACCATTCGCCCTTGCATGGAGTATTGCTGCCATATATGGTCTGTTGCCCCTTATGTTTATCTCAAGGTTCTTGATAAGTTCCAGAGATGCATATGCAACTTAATTGGCCCTGATCTGGCATCTCGTCTGCAGTCGCTCTCTCACAGAAGTGCCTTCGCCTCCCTCTGTCTTTTTTACAAATACTTTCACGGTAACTGCTCCGATGAGCTGCTTTTGCTGGTTCCCAGACTTCATGAATTTAAACGTTCATCTAGGCTGACACCTCGCTCTCGCACTTTCACTGTCAAAAGTAGCCGTCTCTTCTACTCCAATAACTTCAAGTCTCGCACCTCTCGTCTGTGGAACTCCCTCCCCCTTTTCCTGTTTCCCTGATAACTATAATCTCCAACTATTCAAATGTAATGTCAATCGACGTCTCCAGATGCCTTGATCTATCCCCTATCCTTCTCTTCATCCTTTCCTCTATCACTCCTATTTGCTCTCGCTCCAACTTTCTGTAACCTCTTGCGTGCTAGTGGCTTCCCGCCTTGCTTGAGGTGAAACGCTTAAAAAAAATAATATATATATAATATATAATATAATATAACATAACCTAAACAAATATTTAGAAACATTATTTATTTATTTTCCTTTGTAATTTATAAATGTGTTCGGAAGTAAATATTGAAAATTTTTCTTCCAAATCAGTCAAGATTTATTATATCACCAACAGACCAACACATTAATCCACTAATCTGTTGTCCCGTCTTTGATATAGTAATTTTGAGTTCAATCTCTGAGCCGGGCAGTGTATATTTGAAAACAATGGAAACAGGACGAGCAATAACTGAATAGTACCAAAAATACGAACTACACGAGATATCCCTAGACAGATGTAGTGGAATGAGAAAAAGGCTATACGCGTAGATTAAACAAAGTAAGTACCTCAATTAATTCTGTATAAGTAAGGTTTTAAATGATTTTTTAAAAATGCAAAAGCTTTCTTGAAGCTTTCATTTTAGCTTTAATTGAAAGCTGAAGGATTTAAAATTTACTATTTCCAGTAAGCAAAATACTCTGTAGTATATTTCAAAAAGAAATTATATTGATCAGAATCGATTTCTTTTCAGCAAATCCATAAAAATCGGTCAGTTTGAAAAAATTAACAAATTTAAAGTTAAATTAATCTGATTTCAAACAAATATTACTGATAGCATAAAATGTTGTATACAAGCATTTCTTAACCACTGGGTCTTGTTTTTTTTTTCTGACGTGTTAATCGATTTATTGACAGACGGACGGTGGAGCAAACGATAAATTTTATCTGAATAGGATTTTTTTTTCCCATCTTTTAAGCATAATGCTATAGATTTGAACATCCATACTTTGAAATTCTGCACGTATATCACACATACAAAAACAAATCGAATTTCTTTTAAAAAATATTCGGTGTCGTCAGATTGTAATAAGATTAAAGTTTGCAATATACGCTTAGCAAATATATTTTACTTAATAACAATATTTTCTAAGAGTTATCTCATTACAAATGAGTTTAAAAGATTTAAAAACTTTATAAATTATTCAATTTAAAATTGTAAAAAAATAAAACAAATCTTGTAAAAATTAATTTTTATGGAAATTTCTTTTCTTCAGACAAGATTGTCTTTAATATAGATTATTTATGAAAGCAATTAAAAGCATCTCTAATTAGATAATGTCTTAGTATTATTGGGATTTTTATTTTTCGATTTAGAATCGATTTTCGGTAACAGGGGTTTGATTTTGAAAAACTTTTTGAAAAAGTTTTCATAAAATTAAGTAAGATTTTGACGATAAAATTATTTTTTCATTACGTTTGAAGCATGTTTTTATCATGGTATGTTGATTTTTAGCGATTTCGTGGAGGTACCTAAACTAAAGGGTTCAGTTCGGAATTCTTTGTGGGTTAGTCGGATCGATATTCACCTGATGACGGTTGGAGAGTAAAACGTTTGAAATATTGGGATAACAACAACAAAGATAAGGATAATAGTCCAAATGTAAATAAAGTAAATAATGACAACTCCTCATCCCACCCATCGTTCGGTTCACACACCTCACTGATCGCTTGAACAGGAGTAGAGGTTTATCCTTTGTTTCCTGTTTAGGATTGGGTTTCCGGTTCCTTCTAAAGTCTATTTCAACTATATACTTCTGTCATCTCCGCCTGAACTCTTGACATTTCTTTGTTATTATTTTTTCTTCTCCCCCAATAGGAGTAGATAGGTTCGCCTATCGTCCTTTTAAAACTCCCTCTGGATCTTTTGAACAGGAGTAGAGGTTTATAACTTGTTTTTCCGTAAAGGATTGTGTTTCCGGTTCCTTTCAAAGTTTACCTCTGTTCATTCGCTTGTGTTTTCCCAATCAACAATAATCTTGACCTCTTCACGACTAGAATTAACCGTTACATTTGCTACATAGCCCCCATAACATCACTTCTTGCCCTTTCTTCCACTAATACAACTCCGCACAGTAGCGCTCTACCTTGAGTTGCTCTTGGACCTTGTATTGGTTGAACATAAGTAAAAAAAAAAGAATTTCAATTAAGTGACTTCCGCCCTCTTTCGCAAATATTTAAATAGTTTTGCACAAAGATGAAATGATTTTCTTCACCTTCCTGACTTTCAAGGAATTCTGGGAATGTATCTTTTACTTATAAATTCAAAACCTACCAATCATCTTTGCCTCCAGAAATTTGTCATGTCAAGTGCTTGGTGGTTGAGTTAGTATCATGTGTGAAAACCATTTTGTATCTTTAGGTTAAAGCATCAACCAATTTGTTGTCGCTAATCATTCCTACAAATCAACCGAGATTGATGGGAGAAGAGCGAACAAGTTGTCAACTACGCACTTGTTCCGTGACCCTTAGGTGTGCTATGCGTGATGCACACATTGGCGACCATGTTTCTTTTGGATTTGTTAGAGTATTAACCAATGCGGTCAGTAAATAGTCCAGCAGGGAAATTAATACCGAAAACGTGGTCAAAAAGATCCATTTTTTCACTCGCAACTGAGGAAACGCAATTTCATTCACCAAGCTCAATAATCCTTAACACCTCGTTAATCAAAAGCAACGACTTTTATTCACAGAACAATTTTTCTCATTGGCTTTACCAGTCAGGAAGGAAATAACATTAGCATAGTTCTTCAGATACATAAAATGGCAGGTTTTTGCTAACAATTTTCCATTCGGCAGTCTATGCACAAAACACTTTTTCGAGGTAGGTGATTTTCTCTGGAGCTTTTCCGGAGTAGGACGATTACTGGAGAAGACTGAATGGTCTGTTTAGAAGACTCATCTCCTGAGGAGTCCTCTGGTTCAATAACCTTATGCACAGAGTTTCCACCATCTGAAGAGATACTGGCCCTACCTCTGATGGTGACTATCCTTTCACTTGCTGAGCATTCATTGTTGGTGGCACTTGCCAAAATGTCTGAACCTACACAGGGATGCCAGTCTTTTATGTCTCTTGGTATTCCATCGACAAGCATAGTGAACAAGTTGCTGATTCCTGTGATAATCCGTGTTCAAAAATTCCAAAATGCAAAGTGGTTATAAGCAGTCGAGTAGACAAATTAATACCGAAAACCGGGTCAAAAAATTCCAATTTTTCACTCGCAATTGAGGAAAGGCAATTTCGTTCACCAAGCTCAAAAATCCTTAACACTTCCTTAATCAAAGCAACGACTTTTATTCACAGAGCAATTTTTCTGATTGGCTTTGCCAGTCAGAGAGGAAATAACATTAGTACAGTTCTTCTGATACGTAAAATTGCAGGTTTTTCTCAACAATTTTCTTTATTTTTCCTTCGGTAGACGACGCACAAAACACAAACATTTTTTGTCGAGGTCGGTGATTTTCTCTTTCGTTACAGGATTAATGATTGACCTATACCCGCAGTAGACTGCTTTTGCTTTCTGTGGTAGACTGGTTGCCAACCAAGGCCATAGGATCCAGTCTGTCCTTCTATTTAACCTTCTATTTAACCCATACATGGGGGAGAAGAGACGGCTTCATACTTATTGCAATAAATAAGCGTAAGTGAATGTAATGAACCCAACTGGAATTCAATCACGGCTCTTCGATTTCTCATTCCGAGCGGTTATCCATTTAAACTACCCGCACATCCAAGCTTACAGTATCTGATATTGCTAAGTAGTTACTCAACTGTGTACTGACCAGGATCAACGTTGCTTAAGCGACGTCACGTTCAAACACCGGTTCCCGTACGATCACCGAACTTAAGCAAAGTCAAGCCTGGTCAGTACTCAAATGGGTGACCAATTTTGGAATATCAGGTGCAGTAAGTTTGAGTGTGCGGTTGGTGTAATGGATAAGCTTGGAATTGTTAATCAGAAAGCCGACTTCCAATTTCAGTAGAGTTCGTTATATTCACTTATGTGTAAATACCCCTGGGAAAGGTATGGATCCACCTATTCTCCTCCCAGCTATGGGTTAATTAGTAAGACTTGTATCCCTAAATTATTATTATATCCCAAAAAGAAATTTTTACAATCTAAAAATATTTTCTGGCTTTAAATAACATGTAAAGTGTTGATAAGCCGTAAAAAACGAATCAACCAATGAATCAACGTTGTTTAATTTCCGGGGTCGGACAAGAACCCGTGTTTCTATCTGATATCAGCGTAATCCTCTGTTAGATGATCGAATTTAGGTACAAACTAAATTTTTTTAAATTTAATATCTGTAAACTACGCACATTTCGATGACTGGTGCAACATGATCTTCCTAATTGTTCAGTCTTTAATATATTCATAATATTTTATAATATTTGTAGTTTTTCTCTCTTGCTATATATTTCTTCGCCTATTTCATATCATTCTATAACATTGACACTCTAAATTTTGTTATTTGCATTATTGACATTATTCGGACTGCTATACTCATCTTCGTTGCCATATTCACAACGTTTCGATTTATTACACTCCAGTCTTCTTCAGGTGATTGGAATTTCGAACCGAACCCTTTATTTCATCTGCCGGGGTAGATTGTTCTGATTCTACATGCCATGCCGCTTTCGGGTGTCTCAGTTATTTCCCTTTAACTCAACTCTCCAAGTTTTTGTCCACCACTGCTGTGGCCTGGTATTGAACTCACAACTCTTTGGGTCTAATCGCTGGATCTAACCAACGTCTTTATCCACTGGGCCATGTGTCCTTGGCACGTGGAACGAGAACAATCTACTCCGGTGGACGAAATAATGGCCGAAACGCTGGCAATGAAGATGAGGATAACAGTCCGAATAATGTAAATAATGCAAATAATCATAATACATCATCTCAGAGATATAGACAGTCTAAATTTTGTATTAAAAGCAATAAAGAAGTGGGCATTATTTATAGAATGACAACATTTTTCTCTCGAAAAGCTAAATTTAAAATATTTTACAATAAACAACCTAAACTATTATCTGTATCCAACCGTTTTCTGATATTACTGGATTTTTTTTTAAACGGCTTGAAACAAATTAATTCTATAAAAAAAAGGATGATCCTTCAACAGACCTTACCAAATAATAAAAGCCGGATCACTTGAATACTTACAACAACAAAAACATGGATAGCAAATGTAAATAGAACAGAAAATAACGATATGAAAATGTTACCTTTCCCCACTACCCAAAAGAGTTGCACTGAAAAGCCGGTAGCAGTTAGTGGATTAGAGAAATCTAATTTGCTGAAAAACTTTACTAGAAAAAGAGATTATAGATTCCAACAGGCAATAACGCTTACCCTTCAGTCAATGGATATCGAATATGTCTTCTGTGGAAACGGTTAATTTTACCATTAAAATTGCATTGATTTCGATTGGATTTTTAAGAATGCCTAGAGAAATCATCAGAAATCTTGGGTTTTTTTAAACTCAGAGATACGGATCAAACGGTAGTTTCTTCCTACAAAGGAGCAGGGGTCGGGCGAGTTCGATTCCTGCTGGAGAACACATTTTTAATTACCGTTTCTCTAATACTCAGGCAGATAGACCAAATACGCACTGTTTAAAATAAAAATTGGACGTCTATTTCAAATACGAGTATCCATTATAATAATGTTTGTTGAAGTAATAAAAATATCGAATTAAGAATAAATGTTTACATTATTTACTTTGTTCGGATTGTTATCCTTTTTGTATTTTGATATCGTGTTAATAACAAATGAATAAGAACGATATAAAATAATAAGGTACAAACAATAGGTCTGGACAATGTGGAATCTTTATTGAAACTGATATCTTTGCTTATTAGGAGGTAGGAGGTAGTGTTTATGGTGAATGTTAGTAAGACAGTATAAAACAGAAATCGTTTGCATTGTCATATTTACGAAATAAACGGTTCGTTTGGAAATTCCAACGTATATCACCTGAAGAAGGCCTGAGCATGCAACGGCTGAAACGTCGTGAATATCGCAATAAAGATGAGGACAACAGTCCGAACAATGTGAATAGTGTAAATAGTTACAATACCTCATCTCAGAAATATAGACAGATCCTGAAGAAGGACGGATCGTAAAACGGCTAAAACGTCTTGAATATGGCAATAAAGATGAGGACGACAGTCCAAACAATGTAAATAATGTAAATACTTATATTACCTCATCTCAAAAATATAGACGGATCCTGAAGAAGACCGAATCGTACAACGGCAGAAACGTCTTGAATATGGAAATAAAGATGAGGACAACAGTCCGAACAATGTAAATAGTGTAAATAATTACAATACCTCATCTCAGAAATATAGACAGATAAAAAGAAATCCATTAATTCTATAGAAATTGATTTGTTTACGTTTCGGGTACGTAACTGAGCAGATATGATTTAGAGGAAAAATAATCTTGGAGAAAAGGATGTGCTTTCTTTAAAAGTGAAGATAAACCCCTTCTGTATTGTGACGTTTTTCGTAGCCGAGTGGTAAAGCACGTCGGATCAAACGTTAGTTTCTTTCTGCAAGTGGGGGGGGGCAGATTCGATCCCTGCCATAGAGCACATTTTCTTTATTGTGATTTCTCGGCCACTCAGTCCAAGAGATGTAATGCACATTGTTTAAAATAAAATAAAAAATTGGGTGTCTATTTCAAATACGTGTATCCACTATAATAACATTTGAAGTAATGTACTCTTGTGTGCCAAATACAATTGATTTTAATACATGATTAAATGATGTCTTTGAAATTTCCGCCGGCCCAGTAATACGGGACAGTTATTATATTTCAAATAACTTCCTAACGATTATTTTGATCTTAGAATCAACCGGCAGAATGTTCAGTTGAGCCGACGCAATTATTTTAGAATCAGAATAATTCCCTGAGACGCTAACATTCTGAATAGCGCCTGCATTTCTACAAAAGTCATCAAATTTTCTTTACGTAATTTGTAAAGAAAATTAAAGATTATCTACAGATTAAAGATTATCTAAAGTAAAGATTATCTACGCATGTCCTTGTTCAAGACTTGCAGATTATCTTCCCCATGTCCTTGTTCCTGGCTATATTTAATCGATGTAGGTTAGCCATGAATCTTGGACATTTTTTATTGTCTACACTATTCCCACAATTTTTTTTTCTTTTTTTTTAATCAGTTTTCACTTTTAATTTTTCCTTTGCGATTCCGGGGATATTTTTCCGGGGATATTTTTCAGGGGATATTATTTCACTCTTTTTTTCCCGTTCGTTTTCCTACCTTTTTTTTTTTCCTTTACTTTTCGTTTTACCGCCTCGACCGACGTCACGTGTTTGTCAGCGCCTAGTTAGGACGCAATCAAGATGTAGACAAATGGAGAATGGCTTCAAGATACCACAAGAAGATCCGTCGTCGCTTGGATTCGGGGTAACTAGACTATCGCTCTTCTCTTTTGTTGCGGGTTGGGTGGCGGGGTGGGGTGGCTCTAAACGAGTACAACAAATGGCATAACATAAACGAAATAAATAGACACACGTAAAGTAATAAAATAAACAAATAAATAACGGCCGGGTGAGAATAATCATTCGACATTAACTGTTATATGAAGGCGCACACACACACACGCACGCAGACACACACATGAGCACACGCACACACACACACACACACACACACACACACACACATACACACGCACACAAAAAAAGTAAAAGAAAAAATACATATATGCTTTGGAATACTTGATGAAGAAATATATTCCCATTATCGCCAGTAATCAATTTCAGGTAAAAAAAAAAAATAAATAAATAAAATGCTGATTTTCTATGCAAGCACACCTCTCTGAAAAAAACTGTTGCTACACAATCTTCCTACGACCCTTTCTCACCATTTGTAGAATTCGGCTAAGTTAAAATAATGGAAGTAACCGTAGAAAAGAAAGTTACTAAGATGACATTAAACTGACACAGGGTGGGGCGCACAGTGAGGTACGAATTCATTCGTTTATATTCTATCTAGTAGTTTAGCTTACAAAACAGCTTTTGCAGGAAACACCCATTCAGGCTTTAAAATCAGTATTTATGATCAAACATAAGGATTTTCTTAGGAGTTTCTTCGAGAATTATTTTATAGCATACACTCGTACACACCCAAACCCTCCCCACACACGCATATATATATATGCGTGTGTGGGGTGTGTACAGTGTATGCTATAAAATGATTTTGGGTGATAATACAGTGTACGCTATATAATAATTATATATATATATATATATATATATATATATATTTTGGGTGTGTACAGTGTATGCTATATAATAATTATATATACATATATATATATATATATATATATATATATATATATATATTCTGTCTGTCTCTGGCTCTACATAGATAAACACGTGTATGACCTCACAGAACCGCATCTTGAACTTACAATCTTCTATGCCAAAATAACGAGGTATCATCTTTGACTGTGGATATCTTTGTTTCATATCTGTATAACCACTCTGAGGATGGTGCATGTGAGCCGAAAGCTTAGAGCAACTTAATAAACAAATATCCAAATGCTGAAATTAAAGCAATCATTAGAACAGCTCATGATCAGACATAATAGACCTTCATTGTTTTGTTATATTTAATTATATATATATATATATATATATATATATATATATATATATATATATATATATATATAACTGTGTATTTGGGCAGCAATTACTTTTTTATACAAGTTTCGTGAAAAACAATTGTCAATTGAAAATCATTCTAGATAATGGCTAAATGTATAGCCGATATCGCTCGGTCATACAGAAAATTCAGACAATTCCTACATAATTATCTCCAGAAAAGAAAAAAAATATAAGAACAAGAAAAATTAAATAAAAAC